GTGGAAGGCCCACCGACAAATCCAAGTCTAAGTGGGTCCCCATCTCCGAATCTGAAATCCCAAACCCCCTCTCCACACCTGGGGTCATACCCGCTGTGGCCGGACCGAGTTCCTCCGTGAGGAACTGCTGCATGAGGTGCTCGTCATCGCCCCCACGCTGCACCTCGGCCTGTGCGGCTATCTCCTCCTCCACTGCAACTGCCGACGGTGCATCCTCCTCCTCCAGTGATGCTGCCACCTCAACCTCCACTGCTGCTGCTCCTCCACCTGCTCCTCTTGCTGTTGCCACCTGCCCCTCCACTGCTGCACCTCCTCCTGCCGCTGGTGGATCCTCCGCCAGCACTGATGCTGCCATCTCCTCTAGCACTGCTGATGCTGCTGCTGCTGCTATCTCCTCCACCGCGGCAGCGATCGTCGCGTCCGACACAGCCGCTGGTGCCATCGAGCTCTCCACTGCTGCTGCCGAAGGTCCCCCCTCCTCCTGCCCTATCCCCGGGGAAGGTGACCGTAACCTAAGCTGGCAGACTGCCCCGCCTCTGTGGAGAAGGCCTCGCTGAGGCAAAGAGGACCCCAACTCCTCCCTGTCCGGCTGAAGTGGCGAGACGGGCGATCGTGGTGCAGGACTCAGAGCAGGAGGTGGCGGCATGGACGAATCCCGCCTCGTCGGAGTGGGGGTCGTCGCCTGCGCCTCTGGGCCGCCCGTGGAAGCGACCTCACCGAAACTCCATGACGGGCTGCATGATATGGACGATGGTGGCCACCCTCTGCCACCATGGATCCCATCCGATCTGTCGGCGCACCCACCGCGCCATGATCCACACATCAGCGGACCACGGGCTGGAAGCAAAAACCCGCGCGTCGTCCCCTCGCATCATGTCCTGCAAAGTATCCTGCAGGGCCAACAGCCTCTCCAGCATGGAGTAAACAGACGTGAACCACGTCTCGCAAGAAAGAATAAGCCCCTTCTCCGGGCTGCGCGTCCTAAAAAAATGAAGGGCGGCCTGGTGGGCTTTGAAAAACACCACCAGCACACGAGCGCGTGTGATCGCGTCCACAAACACGTCGCAACTCGTCCCCATGTCTGACAACAATTTGTTGCAGACATGGACGGAGCACGGGAGCCAAGTGATCCTCCTCAGTGCAGGAGGCATGGACGGCGAGGTCAATGCCCTCGCAGCCCCCACATAGGCAGAATCGGATTCAGTGCATATCGCATTGATCCGCTGCGGCCCGCCAAAGCTGAATTCGTGGAAGATGGTAACCCATCTGCCCACCATCTCCCCCGACCCCTCCCTCCGCCGGACGCCGCCCCGCCTCTCCTCCCCTTGAACCACCCGTGCCGGGCACATCGAGTCCGCGCTCCGTTGCATACCTCGACACCCTCTCCATCTGATCGGCCTCAAACTTCTGCCGAGTCCGTCGAGCAATCTCGTACAACGCCTCGTCGCTGACGTCCTTGCAGTAGTTTGTCTGCGAGAAGTGCCTCGTGGCGTGAAACAGGGTCCCTTGGAAAACTTTGTTGCAAAACGTGCAACGGAGCATCATGACCCCCTTGTTGTCGACCTTCTGGCCCACAACCAGGTACGGATAGACAGGGGAGCGGGCCCTGAATGTGTCCTGCACATGGTCTGCGGCAGCCTCATGCTGACGGCGCTCTGACCTCCCCATGTCGATCACCCTCGCGAGACAACCCTCGCTGACTCCCCCCGACCGCACCG